TCTCATCAGGTACACCGTATTCCCCTCGGTATTTTCACTGTATCCTCTCATGTCATGAAATTCGCTGTAGTCCCTGACGATATTCATTCACTGAATTCTGAAATCATATGAACTGAATTCCCTCATGCGATTCACTGTATTCCACCATCAGATACGCTGTATGTATTCCTTTTTCACGTTCACTGGTTTCCCATTGTCGGATACATGCACTCTTTTATATGCCGATCACATACCCTGGGCGCCCTGAGCAGATACACTGCGGGTGCCCCGAACACCCGAGCGGACTCAATCTCAGTCATTAGAGTTTGCACTGCTGTAAACAACAGAAAGTAAAGTAGGTATTCACCTAACTAAGGAGTATTACCGGAATAGTCTTCGTTATGTTGATTCAGTAATCGGATCATTGTACACACCTTCGGGTCATACATTGAATCATAGAAGTATGGTACATCGGACCATTGTCCTATAGCATGTTCTAGTAACGGTGCCAAAGGTCGGAGTGGCCGTCTATTACCGTGATCGGTACGTTGCAATCGTCCGTGTGTTTTTCCTTTCCGTGATGACGGGTGATGGCTCGCCCCCGTGGTGCTCGCCCCCACTCGCCCACTCTCTTCTACTTCTCCTTCTTCTTCTTCTTCTTCTTCTCTCTCTTTCATCTTCTCCTTTCTCTCTTCTGACCTTTCGGCCAACAAAGCGCCAATACAACCATACCATCTGGTCTACAACGCAACAAGTGTACTTTACAGTCACTCTGTGAGCCTCTGCACAATGTATGTACACAGTGGCCATTGCCAGGGATACACCTATCAGAAAAAATTACATCCCAACACGGTGCGCCCGTTATAGTCGGGGGGAGTGCCCGTAAATTGGGGGGAGTGCCCTTCAGTCTGGGGTGGTGACCGTTTGTCGAGGGCATTGTCCGTTCCGGGGTGGAATGCCCGTTGTGGGGGGGGAGTGCCCGTTAGCCCGGGGAGGTGCCCGTTGGAGAATATTTACCCGGATCCAGGGGGTGCCCTATGCTGCCACAAGTCCCCCACCGGTGGGGCACATCCGTAGTTTACCCCGCCGGCCGTGGTGGCACCTGAACGGAACCTTTGGGCTTAACGATGGGTCCTACGATAGCCCTACAGCGCAGCAACACAAGTGGGCGTGTCCTGTGTCGACTGGAGTCTTTGTATGACAACACACAGCTGGTGGGGTAAGCAATGTAACCCACCACTGAGGAACTGTATGGTTCCCACTGGGTGTGTGTAAAGGTGTGTGGCGGGAATACATCATGTGCTGGTCGCCTCACCACCTGCCAGCTGCTAGTCTATGTGCGTGAGCGCGTGTTCCACACACTCCTACCGGTGTTTGTGTGTCGATTGGAGTCTTGCAGGGCTACATACAGCATTGCGTAGCTGAAGGGGAGTCTGCCTGCAAGATACTAGAAGGCAGTGTTCGCTACCCACGTCAGGCGTTTGGCGCTATGCCTCGGGATTTCCTGACCTGTTCGCGGCCCCAGGTTCTGCCCGTTGCTGTGCGCTGTGCGTGCACGACCACAAACTCCTGCAGGTGCTTGTGTGTCGATCGGAGCCTTGTAGAGGGAGATCCAGCTGGTGGGGTCCATAACGTTATCTTCCCACCAGTGGGGTAACGGCGCATGTTCCCCACCAACCGTGGCACCACCAAAACTGTGCTGTTTCGGCCTCACGATGGGTCCATTGATACCCGTGCAACGCCGCAACACATTCGTTGAAGTCCTGTGCTGATTGGAGTCTTGGAGAGCGAGCTACAGGTGGTGGGGTGTTTAAGAGTTAACCGGTTGGGCGGTTAAGAAATTACCACACCGGTGGGGTGTTTATATTAGCCGTGCCGTTTACTATTTCCTTTTCTACCCCATCCAGTCTGTAGGTCCCGTGGCTGAGGATGCACCTGTTTTCCTCGTGGATGGTCAGATTCCTGGAATTGTTGTGTGGGCGCTACACATAGGCGTATCTTTGCTTTGCGACACCAGCATGATATGTACCTACGCGTATAATCTTTGATACACCAGCTCGCGTCACCTCAAGAGGCAGAGCAGCTTTCAGTGTCTTCAACAATTTTTTTCACGGCGAGTAGCGACTAGCGGGTCCTCCCCTCGTTGTGGCGCGTACTCGCGGAGTTGTAACTGTCAAACATTGGGAGCCTTTTCACTCTGGGGAGATCCGAACTCGCCCGAATGAATGGAGCAATGAGATACGATACACTGGAGGACCTTAACGAAACAAATATAGGACTCACCCACGAGCAATGCTACGGTAGGGGTGCCCCAAATTGCATTCGTATTCAAATTGGTTTCGGGCTCGTGTGATGCAACGCCCTACTCCTCCTGTGATCATCGTATCGAGCGTTCCACGATTCATTTTTTTGTGCGTGAATAGTGAGACGGAGATTCGTAAAGAATGATGGATTTCAGGTTGTTTGATGGGACATACATGCATGTGGTTACACGTAGTCCGGCCACCCATGGTCTCCGCCGCCGACCAAAACCATCGGGTCAGGCGAACCCGTATTGCATAAGGAACTTTAGGGGAGTAAGCGCCGGTTAGACGTCATCCGCGTTTTCGTTGCTGCGTGCGTCCTACACCGGTTCAGTTGCATCAATAACCCAAGGGTTGCCGTCACTGCATTATTTCTTGCGTGGACGTGGTGGAACCTGAGGGCCGTGGGAAAGGGAACGGGGTACGATGCTATCAAATTGCTGTGTGCGTGGCAGACTTTGCCCCGATCTAACCCTTGTGGACCACATTCATCACCCAAGTGGATAGCTCAGGCTGAGTCGAAAGGTAGGGGCACCGAGAAAGGAGTATCGGGGGTACACGGGGGTGGGATGGAGTGTTCTCCTTTTCAGGTACACTTCCGCTCGTCCCCCACAAAATGCACGCCAGACACAGTAGAACGCAGTGTTGGTTGAGTGCAGCAAAAGTAGGCAGTAGTTATTGCGCCACGCACCCCTCTCGCTGTCACAATCATCACCGCTGATCGTCAAGTGAGACGATTCGGGCAACCCGGATGTTGCCGTCCCGCTGTGCGGACTTCGCTCCATCGCCCTTGGGCTCCCCATCTATCGTGAGAATTGCAGTGATGTTGCCTTCGAAAAAACATCCCATCAACCATTGCCTACAGCAACCCTTTCCAAGAATTTAGGATTTTCCTAGCCGATGCATGTTCGCCTGCTGTGCACCGGCAAGAAACACAGCCCTTGTCATGCTAAGCGCGTCCAGCCATTCGCAAGCCTGTTCCAATCTGCATTCATGACAGAACAAGCCTTGGGTTGGTGCCAGGGGGGCGATTCTACGGTACGTGCGTGTAAGTTAACCCGCGCATGGAGAGACGGTAGTATTGGAGGTCGCGCGTCCTGGGGGAGTCTGTGCGTTAGGAGAAGACAAGGAAAATGGAAACAGCTACCTCCTTCATGGCTTCGTACCTCATGGTGCGCCTTTTTGCCCCCATCGCTCGAGACCGTCAGACCATGATCGTCTGGTTAAACTCATTATCACATCACACCAAACGAGAACAGTACACGCCACCCTTGCTTGTACCGGAGGGTATCCGGTGTCACAGCGGTACACTAGATAGCCGTACGAGAGCTGCCATGGGAGGAAACAACATGACTAACTGCCCGCGGCCTAAACCCTGGACCAAAGGGTATTTACATTTGACACGGCCCGCTTCCCCACGCAATATTTGCCAAGTCTCCTTCCCGGATGAAACAAAGGAAACCAGAGGAACCCCGTGTGGTCAAACAGCGACCGGCAACACAAGCCAAACGCCAAAACAAAAAAAACACAACCTTTTTGTTATCACCACTCGAAAATTTAATATTGGATACGGACCGACGCCCACAACAATAGCATAAAATGGGATGAAAAAAAAAAAGAGAGAGAGAAATACAGTCCTCCAAGATCAATAACCAGAGCCAAAAAGACACACTCATGCAATGAAGCAACGACGAGAACCTGGCACATCGCTCCGTCTTGGTGTTGTAGGGGTGCGAGATTAACGGAAACGACTACGGCATGCGTGCACATCATCTTGTACACCCTGGGCAAGCAGGGACGACGAACGGACCACCCGCACCGTCATCGTGGCAAGACTACCACCTCCACGCCGGTGGCGCGCAGAGCGGCGGCCGCGGCCGCGGAGACTCCCTCGCAGAACGCGATGTGCACGACCTCCAGGTGCGCGCAAACCCTCGACAGGGTCAAGAGGGTCGCGTCGGTGATGCCCTCGCACCAGACCGCTTCCACCTGGCGGTGGTGTGGCGCGCACAAGGCGCACGAAAACACAATTGCTGCAACGGTTAGGGTTGGCGCGGGGTAAACGGACACAGTTCGTTGCAAGTGCAGTCATGAAGGCTCCTTCTTGTCATCGAGCTTCCCCGCTTTCATGTGTAAAAAGAACGAGGGACGGTAAGTGAATGGATGAGCACCAGAAGAAAACACAAAACTGCACTGCAACCGGAGAAGGGCGACAAGTGATTCTTCCCAAGTGAAGCACACACACAAGAGGGAGAGAGCCAGGGGAAAGAGAGACACAAAGAGAGCCAGACAAACACAGAGAGAGAGAGAGAGACACACACAGACAAACAGACAGACAGACAGACAGACAGACAGACAGAGAACAACACTAACCTCCTCAAGCCCCGGACATCCCTCCGCGAGCCGCTCGAAACCCCGGTCTGTCACACCTCCGCACCACGACACATCCAACCACTCCAGCGACGGGCAGCGCACGGACAACGCCTCCAGAGCGCTGTCGGTGATCTGCAACACCGCAACAGGCAACGAAGACAGGGCAAAACGCAACAACGGGGCGTGGGTGGGTGGGTGGATGAGTTGGTGGTTCACAACCATAGCCGTGCGGGGATGTCCGTGCCTTTGTACAACGGCGGCATAAAGCCGACGCCTAAAGCTCTTTCATTTCGTCGTGGCGTCGGAACAGCCCAAATATCTTAGCGATTGGGGCCAGGGTGAGGGCCGTAGCAAAGTTAGCTTCTAGAGAGTCAAATTGTCAAGAAAGGGGGCTACTGGTGCTGGTGTTGAAACTACTTCGTCCAGGGATCACCGTCCGGGGGTGCATACCATAAATGACACAGATAACACACCCCCTGGACCTATTTTCAAATCTCGATTTCTCAATAGCAGAAAGAGTCACGCGCCGAAAACGGTGGCGGTGAAGCTGTCTTGTCGAGAGCTTTCCGAAAATGTAATGTTTCATTTACGCATCCTCTTGGTCGTGGCGTAATCGAGCTTTGAAAATTGTTCCAGGGGGTGTGTTATCTTGTGTCATATACGGTAGGTCGATGTTGGCACACGCTGATTCCGGTCGGGAGAGCCGGGACTTGGGATGAAAGTCCGGCCCGCTTGGAGGCAGAGGGAGCGTGGCATTTCCTCACGAAAGGCCTTTCTGTCCCTCCCCGTTCCGGGACTACGCACGAGTACAGAGGCGTGCTTGGGGGGGTCCGAGTCATGCCGCCACAATCTTGTCGGGGCAAAAAAAGAAATTGTGACAAACGTTATATCTTCGTCGGCAAACCGACTACTGCTGTGACGAGATGCTTAGTTCCTACACACGCGTAGAAAAAGGTACGACAAAACCCTCGCTACATGCACAACAACGATTCCGCCGCCGAGGTGTACGCGCGCGCCCAGCGTACCTGCCCGCAGTTCCTGAGGCCCAGGGCCCTAAGCCCTCGGCAGCCTGCAGACAGCGCGGCGACCCCGGCGTCCGTCACTCCGAGGCAGTGCTCCAGGTGCAACCCCTCCAGTGCCGAAAATGCTCCGGCGACCCTGCCCATACAACCAGGGGGGGAGTTGGGTCTCAGATATTGTGCCTAGCCTCTGTATTCGGGCCCAACACACTCGGTTTTAATGTGAAGACAACAACAACAACAACAACAACAACAACAACAACTCGGTGGGGGGTGGGGGGTGGGGGGGGACGTTATCTTGTTACATGGTGCCGGCGGTAAGGCCGAATGAGGGGTCCTCGCGGACAGGACACCAATGAGGATGGCCACCTCATATCCCTCCGTTGCCGTGTAGGGCACGTCAGCCTTCACATACACTTACGGTGCACATTTCAATTTAACAGAAAAAGTGTATGCATGCCCACGTCTGGAAACATACACGCTGTACCTGGCAAGCGCGAGGTCCGTTACTCCCCTGCAACGGCCTAGGTTGAGGTGCCGCAGCGAGGGCAGCGACGAAGACGACGACATTGGCGCTACCGGGACCGTGACGGTGACGCCACCACCAGCGGCGCAAGCAGCAGCAGCAGACGGCAGAAACGGTAGTCCACCATCGTCCGGCTGATGCCGCTGCCGCTCATCCTGCATCCCAAATCTCCCGTCCCCCGCTGCTGCTGTTGCCGCGGCGTTGCCGTGGAGGGCCTGGGGTTGCGGCGAGACCGGGCGTGATCCAGAGAGAGGAAGGTCTTCGTTCGGAGGGCCGACTATGGCGCTCGACGGAGCGACGGCCACGCCCATGTCGATCGCCGGCAAGCCCTGTCGGCGGGGGAAAAGTCGCGCAGGGCCCGGGGGGCGACGGCAAGAGGAGGGGCGGGGGGGGGGGGGGGGGAGGGCCTCCAACCGCAAGGGCCGGGGAAAGGAAAGGGGAAACCCCCCCTTTTTTTTCCACCCCCGAATTTCCCCCCGGGCCCCAAAATTTCCCCCC